ATACACAGGGCGTTCATTTTATCCTGCGCACTCTGAAATATCTTTGTTGTTTTCGCTGCTTTACGAAAATGCGTCAGAACAACTTTGTTTCGTACAAAACTGAAAATATTATGATTCACGCTTTTACTTCTCTCGAGGTGATTTTTTTTCAATTATCGAAGGCCATCGCTATTTTTTGCATATTGACACATATTTCTCGAAGGTCATTTATAGGTCATTTATAGGTCTCGAAGGTCATTCATATAGCGTCGGGCCTCGTTGAATTCGTCTTGATGCATTATAAACCACAGTGCTCCGTTATAAATATTGCCTGATTTTTATCATAGATAGTATCAATAAAAATATGCATACAGCGAGTTTTGACCAATTTACAAGTGTTACAAGAGTTCTCTGTTAATAAATTATCATTCCTTTGTCGAAATTTCTTATACACGATTCCTACCGATAAAACTGTTTTCTAATCTTCAAATTATAGAAAGTATATTATATCGCAGTAGAAGGTAATAAAAAAATATGGTAATGAAATATTTTAGGCCGCAATATTCTTCAAGGGTTTCCGATAATCTGACGAAAAAACGTTTCCCAACGAAAGTTGAACAGTATTCGCATATCTAAACACTCCTGTGTAAAACATTTCGAAAAAATTCTTTCTTCGCAAAAACATCGCTTTGATTTTCTCTCTCCGTTAAAATGTAGTTTTTGTCTAATAATGTTGTAGCCGGCGTTAAGACAGATTCAACGAACGACGGCACATTTGTCATTTAAAGTGCTGTAACTTTGCGAGGAAAGATCGCAGCGACTTAGTTCGGTCCTCAAATTAAAGGGAAAAGTCCGAACTTTCCGAGGAAGCAGTTGAACGGCATACTCGAGAAAAATTGTTCAAAGTCCCCAGAGGTCATTAAACTTTACACTTTTTCGGTATCACGAACATGACCTCAGATTCAGGATACCACAGCCCTGGGGATGCATGATATTAAAAATTAGGATATGGTATCGTAAAGTAGAGATTTCAAGCTTTAATTTGAATCATTTAATTCGATCATAATTTTATGTCAGCTTTTAACCCCTTAATGCACAATTTAAAAAAAAAAAACCGACCAAAAAAAATCAATTTTTTTTATCTAAGAAAATACATATTTGGACCTTAATTTCAATAAATATGTAAAAAAATGCAAAAATTACTAAAAATTCAATAAAAATAGTGGATAAATAATTATAGTGAATATTGAATCGCATTGCAGATCGAATTTTGTACCCATCGTACTATTTTTCAATTACCAGTTACTATTTTGAAGGGGAAGGAGGAGACGAAAAAAAAAGTGAAAAATATTTAATTTTACCTAAATTTGTAATAATATAATAATAATATTTATTAGCTGAAAAATATATAATAAACTAAAACTATTCAAAATTTTCTTTTGTATGGTAAATTTCAAAACAAGGTGCAGCACATA